TGCATGATCTTTGCGGGTTCACTCAGTGGTAGAGTGAGAGAAAGGCAACAGTAATCTCCCCCTTCTCCCCTCTCCCTGGCCCACTGAGCAGACTTGAGCTGCCTCTGGTGGATCGAAGTGGATCCCGCACAGTGCTGATGTGACTGAACGGCTAGGGAGGAGCCCATTTCCCATAACCTCTAGAGAGTTGTCCTGCCCTACTCGCTGTTGGCCCTTTACACATGTGAAGAGACTAGGTTGGGACAGCACCAGCAATGTCAGACCCGGGTCCTCACTGACCTGGGCACCCAGGAGGCAGAGCAAACCAGGCAGTTGCTTTAGTCCCTGAGGTTGGCAAGGGTCTAAGCACCAGACAGTGAGAAGAGGGGATTTCCAGGGGTCCCCTAAGAGCTGATAGGCAGGCTCGGGTGGCAAGAGGACTTGGGCTGAGTCTCAGAGTTGTTTCTCAAGCTGGCTGAAGTGTCCTGGGTTTCTCAGCTGGGCCCCGCTAGTCCCCCCAGCCTGGCTCTGAGCATTCTGGAGGAGAGGCAGAGAAGCAACTACCTAGTGCTTGAGGTCCCCAGGGCACAGAGAGGTCCATAGCCCCAGAGCTAAGAAGCTGTGGTTCCCTGCACCCACCCATGGCTCTCAGTGAACAGTGACCGTATTGTAGCTTCTTTGTCCCCAGGACCATCTTTGAAGAATGCTGGGAACTGCCTAAGTCCTGCGGTCATTGTTGGGCTCCTGAAGGAAGCCTCCAAGCAGACGGATGTGAACTTGGTGAACGCCAAGCTGCTGGTGAAAGAGGCTGGCCTTAATGTACGCTGCCATCCCATTCCCCACCAGCACTGCCCTTCCACCTCTCACTTGCAGTCAGCTCATAGCTCTCTCTGGGTACAAGTCCCGCCACTAGCCCGGTTTTCCTGTGAGAGGTAGTCATAATCTCTTCATCTGCAACATGAAGATGACATCTACCTCTGAATGTTGCCGAGTAATTGATACCTCTGAAGAGTATGAACAGGAGGTGCTAGGGTGACCCCATTGCATGGCCAGGAAAAGATACAAAGCTGAGCCTGCATGGACGGTTAGACATGACCCAGTGCACTCAGCCCCTGACTACCCAGTGTTCCTTGTACTGAAGCACCCAGCATATGGATTAGTTTGCATCTCAAGGAGAAGGCAGCGTATCTGCTGCTTCTCAGGTCTCCCCTCTCTGTGCTTCCATCAGTAGGACCAGAAAGAGGCAGGAGAGGAGCTCTGCCACCCGCACCCTCCACTCCTATGGCCAAGTCAGACCACTTACTGCGTGGGGCAAGAAGCTGGGCCGTGAGGAGCCAGCCTGGGTCAGGAATGCGGCTGCTGGGACCTTCTCTCAGTCTTGCCTCTCGCCTTCCCTCCCACTCCTCTGTAATTCCTACCCCTCTCCTTCAAGCCTGCATCTAGCAGCTCTTTCTTGGTCTTCCATTTAGGGAGGTCCAGGGAAGCTAATGCACTGGTCTTGGCCCTGACTTTCTGAGCTCACTGGCTAGTATGGAGCTCTGCACATAGGTGACCAGGCAGAGTGGAAACAATGCAGCCAGGAATAACTCCGCCTCCTTGCCTTCTCCTGGCAGGTGACCACCTCCCACACCCCTGCTGCTCCTGGGGAGCAGGACCCTGAGGGGTGCCTCCTCACCGTGGCCCTGGCAGGTGCCCCCTACCAGGCCGTGGGCTCAGTCCAGGGCACCACGCCTGTGCTGCAGGCACTCAATGGAGCAGTCTTCAGACCGGAAGTGCCTCTCCGCCAGGGCCAGCCCCTGCTCATGTTCCGAACTCGACACTCCAGCCCTGCAGTGCTGCCTACCACAATTGGTGAGCAAGGCTGTGGGGGGCGGGCCAGGACCCTGGAAGTGGAGGTGGGGTATGTGCTGGGACTGGGCCGCCACAGACTTGCTCCTTTCTTGCTGCCCCTCTGTGTGCCTCTGGGATAAGCATGAAGCACGGAAGTGCCTTATCTAAGGTCACAGCGCCATTGGACAGAGGCGGTGCCGGAGCACCTATTAAGGACCCCGGGCCCCTGCCCCAGGCTTGCCATGTTAGGCACGCTGTTCACATTCCGGCAGCTCTGGGCCACAGCAGGCAGGTTTCCCTCTTCTGCTGTCAGCAAAGCTGGAGTTGAGCAAAAGAGTGTGTCCTTGCACTGGAGAAAACCAGATCAGAGGCCGGCCAAGTAGCTCAGTGGATTAAAAACGCCTGCAAGCAGGTGCAGGAGCCGGGGTTTCGATCCCCAGGCCTGCTCTGCCACCGTGCCCCACCCCACTCCCCACCCCCCTGCACTGAGTGTGGTGGTGCATGCCTATAATCCCAGCTCTTGGGAGGCTGCATACAGGCAGATCACTACAAGTCCAATCTCGTAATGAGACCCTGAATACCCTGTAGACCACTCCCTAAAATACCAAAAAAAAAAAAAAAAGCACATGTCTGAACTCCAGTCACGCCGCAACATCTCGTATGCCGTCTTCTGCTTAAAAAAAAAAAAAAAAACAGATCAGCGTTCCACCTTGCTGTTGGTATTAAGAGCAGCGTCACCCCATTGCAACTTTGGTGGCAGCCTGAGTACTCACAGCCCTTCACTTCTCCTGTACCCTGTACCCATGCCAACTGGGGCCTTCTTCTGTTTCCAGGTCTCCTGGCAGAGGCAGGCGTGCAGCTGCTGTCTTACCAGACCTCAGTGGTGTCAGATGGGGAGAACTGGCACATCATGGGCATCTCCTCCCTGCTCCCCAGCCTGGAAGTGTGGAAGAAGCAGGTGTCTGAGGCCTTCCAGTTTTGCTTCTAAGCTGAGAGTTTGCTGGCCCCAGCCTTGGGGGCTTCTCTGAGGAAACTTAACCACCATGATGAACAAGGAGAGGCGATCGACATTCCTGGGGCAGAATAGGGTCTATGGCGCTACTCTGCTGCAGTGCTTGACCCTGCAATGAGGTGGCAACCACCAAATAAAGAGCCTCTCCGAGCCACATCTCCGTGTTGTCATTGTCCTAAAGAGCCACCAGGGGGGCATGCATTTTTGGCTGCTGGAAGATAGGAGCTGGGGAGGCAGTCGGAAGGGTAAATAGGAATGTGGCTGCTCTGAAGATGACCTGTGTCCTAAGGTTAGGGGCATTTTCACAGGCACAAACTCACAGCATTTCAGATTATTCTGTCCATCAGTATAGCGCACATTAATGAGCAAGGTTCAGCAAACACACACACCACTGTGACAAGTACCAGCTGCTTCTTTGCTTTTAGGGAATTCAGACCTGACCCCTATTGCAGAAGTCCCATGGACTTGGGCCAGCAAGATAGCTCAGCAGACCAAGTACCTGCTCAGGCAAGTGCAGGGACCGAGATTCGATCCCCAGCACCACATGCCACACTGGCCCCACCCCCAAGTGTGCTGAGCCGCCCACCTAGTCCAGGCATGGTGGTGCGCGCCTGTAATCCCAGCACTGGGTAGGCTGAAAACACAAGGATCACTAGGAGTTGGATTAAATTAGATGCTAATTTAATAGCATCTGCATAGTGAGACTATGTACCAAAGAGATTTTTTTTTTTTTTTAAATAGAATTCTCATGGAGTGGGGAGGCAAAGTGTACAGGTCACGAGAAACATGAGTGAGGGCTCAGAGGTGTGCGGGAAGCTCTCGAGTCTGAAGGAAAACATGCTCTAAACAGGGTGTTTGGAAGGGTTTCCCACAGGGAGGAGAATACAGAGGTTGCAGGTATAAGGATCTTCCGTAGGTTCACAAAGGAAGCTCTGTGTGAATTGGATAGTATATTGCTTTTTGAAAGAATATTTCATGATGAATATTAGAATGGCACTCCATGCAAAACTTTTGCCTTTTGAGAGCTTCTCCCCTTTGCAGTAGGGATGGGCCCATTCCAGGCTGCCTATTAGGAGCCAGTAGCTTGCAGGGCTGGGGCAAAGTTCTTCAGAGGGCTGAATAAACTGAGTCAGCATCCCCCACACTGTGCTGTATCTCGCATAGCCAGGATTTACAGGTCCAAGTGGGGTAGAAGTGGGAATGGTACCACTCGCTGTTACCCCTACGGATCCACTAGCAGTCTCTCTGCCTCCTGTTCAAGCAACCTTTTGCTCTGTTGGTTTAGAAGTCTTATTTCCAGGCTGAGGAAAGCTTGCACCAGGAATTACAATAATAGTACATTAAATTAGATGCTAAAACTTGCCCCTGGTCATTTTGGTGTCCTAATGCCACTCAGGGAACAAGCTACCAAGGGAGTCATAGTGTTAGCAGGCTACCAAGGGGAACCCAATTATCAGGGGGAACCAGGACTACTGCTCCACAATGGAAGAATGGAAGAATACACGTCAAGTGCAGGAGATCCCCTGGGGTGCGGTCTGGTATTGCCAGGCCCTGTTATTGAATGGGAAAATGAATGGGAAAGTACAACACTCAGTCCAGGCAGAGTGACAAATGGCCCAGAACTTTCAGAAATGAGGATATGGTTTGGCCCACCAGAGAAAGAACCAAGACCTGCCGAGATGTTTACTGAAGGCCAAGGGAAGGCAGACTGGGCAGTAAGGGAAGGCAGGTCTACAGACCAGCTACAACCCTGTGATCAACTATAAAGATCGAGGATCGTGATGTTACTAGCTCTCCCTTACTGTGATTTTAATGCAATAGAATGTTAACAGATGGTGGGTTTTAAGTATTATTCAACCTATGTTCTAATAAGGGCCTAGGCTTTATTTCATATTTCTTATGCAATACAGCTAAATTAAAAACCATGCACGTAAGGAGAGCCGGGGAAGTTTTAGAACTTGAAGAGCCATATTTTTATGAGGAGGCTTTGTATTGCTATATTGTACTTTGCAAACAAATTACTTTTACTTGTGGGTATCGATTTTCTCTTCATTTGCTTTTTTGGATATTTTAATCACTGATTAATATTAAATGCATTTTTAACGTTTTGGAATAAAGAGATACATAAGGAATTTGTTGTGATGCATGTACATTTATAGTTTTCAGACACATGCTTTGATCAGGTTGTTTAGTCAAAATGCTGTAGTTTTAATTTTGAATTCTGAGAACACTTTGAATATTTGCTTCTGGTGTAGAAATAAGTTTTTGTTACATTAATGTGAATCCAAATAGGCCAAAACATGTTAACTCTTTACAGATCTACTACTGGAGACTAGTTTAAAAACATCTGTCTCATTATCAAGTGGCCAGGGGGTGGACTCGGATCAATTGTCATTCCGAGTGGGAACCCCCAGCTCAGCATGGTTCTGGGTGTGGAAAGTCCACCTCAAGGACAGTGTCCAAGCAGTATGCAAAGGAGAACTGGCATGAGGGATTTCAGCTGATCTTTGGTGACGCTGCTTTTCTTCAGAGGAGTTTCAGCCATTATTCAGAAGGGCGTTGTTGGTTTTCTTTCTTCAGGTAGCATAAGTCCTCATCTTCATCTTCGGGGCCAGTGTTCGTGAGGGCTACTGGGTAGGGCCATATTCATTTTACCAGCCAACGACAGTGTTTTAAACATGATCCAGGGACAGAGGTTGTGCTACTGCTCTTCCACAGGACCCGCTCTATGCATCTGTGGAACATGAGTGAGCAGATTAGATCACGAGCCGCCTTCCGCTCCCTGGGACCCCAGTCCCTGCTCCTGGCCTAATGTCTGGCTATACATCCTGAGGTCTGGCCTATTCTTGGTGCCCCTCCCAGATCCAACCTGGACTCCAGAGAGGACTGACATCCCATGCTGCAGAAGCCAAAGCTGGGGAGGGCAAGGTCCACATCAGCCACTCTGCTTGGGATGGGAGAGTAGTCTGGGCAGGGGCACTGCAGAGACCAATGGGGCTTCACGGAGTGCTGCATAGACATCACACTTCTGTTCCAGCTAGAATCGCACTGCAGTGGGCTTACTGCTCATGTGACTACCAGCCAGGGAAAGCACAAGAGCCCTAACTCGGACTCATAGTGACCTTCCTATCTCAGCCTCCCCAGCTCTGGGATTACAGGCATGTGCCACCATGCCTAGTTTTGGTGGTGGGCACTGCACCTCAGGGGTTCTGAGGCTTGACACTGCGTGTGGTACTGGGGATCAAATTTCACCCCTTGCTCTTGCCAGGCAGGTGCTTAGACTGCGGAGCTATCTCCTCAGCCCTGGTGCAATATTTTTTTGTCAGGGAAGGAGACTGACTTGGAGATTCTCCTTTGATTTATTTATTTTTTTATGTTTTTTAGTAGTATGTGTATCTTTAAACTTGTTCTTTTGAATTTTTATTTTTACTAGTACATGTTTGCAGTATATAAATGACTATACTCCTTGTGGGGAGTTGGCACATATATGTCAACAGCTTGTGTCTGGATAGTCCCTGAAAGCCCCACACAGTCATAGGTGAGGATTCTGCAGCGAAGACTGGATCCAGAGCATGTCATGAAAGGATCAAGGCCACATGTTTGCTGATTAGTTCTGGGTAGGATTAGGGGCGCCTCACCCTGGGTGGGAATATTATTCCCCTCAGGCGTGGGTGGCCCGGATAAAATCTAAGAGGCAGAAAGAGAACTACTGGGTCACGTGTTGCTCACTGCTTGAAGTTGGCTGCAGTGCTGCCTGTCACCTTCTCCCTGCCATGAACTGTGTCTGCTCCGGGGAGTCCTCCACCATGCCACCCTGCCCTGGAGCCAGCCAACTGTAAACTGAAAACTACAAATGTGGGCTAAATGAGCCTTTTTTCCTTTAACTTCATGTGTCAGAAGGTTTGTCTTGGCAATGAGAAAAAGTAACTAAGATAATCTACCTAATACATCTTAATTCTTTTTACATCCTCTCCAACCCTTCCTTAACTTGGCCCCTTTCCATTTGCAAAACATCTATATCTCTTTTTCCTATTACTTGTGGAGATTTCCTCTTAGAAAAGCACAAGGTCTGTCTGTCTACAGTCAATCAGTCAGTCAGTCAGTCAGTCAGTCAGTCAGCCAGCCAACCAGCCAGTCTGTCTGTCTGTCTGTCTGTCTGTCTGTCTGTCTGTCTCTGTCTCTGTCTCTCTCTGTCTCTGTGTCTCTGTCTCTCTCTGTCTCTGTCTCTCTCTGTCTCTCTCTGTCTCTCTCTGTCTCTCTCTGTCTCTCTCTCTCTCTCTCTCTCTCTCTCTCTCTCTCT